TTCCGTGGCTGGTTCTCCAGATGTGGGCGGCCAGGTCGTTCTAGGCGCGTCTGGATGGACCAGAACAGCCGAACTTGGTCTCCTAAAGGCACGTCCAAGTCCTAGGCCCTGGAATCTGTGAAGGGGGCCTTGTTCGGAAACGGGAGCTCGGTGAAGTTAAGAAGGCTAAGACTGTTGACATGCTATCTGATTAGGGGACCCTCGTCCTATAGGAGTGGCGCCCTTGGAACAGAGAGAGACACAGAGGGACACAGGGGGGGACGGCCAGGTGGAGACGGAGGCCAGAGAGATTCGGCCACAAGCCCAGGGATGCCTGGGGTCCCAGGGAGAGCCCCTGAGAAAAGACCCTCCCCTGGAGTCTCCTGACGGGGCCCAGCCTTGCCCACGCCTGGACCTCAGACTGGTGACTTTGCAGATGTCATTCACTCAGCATGAGGTCACCCTGGGGCAGGGGGTCCCTCATCCTACAGGAGTGGTGTCCTTAGAACAGAGGGGGAGGGACAGAGGGACACAGAGGGGAGACGGCCACACGGAGACAGAGGCAGAGGTGGGGAGAGATGGGGATACAAGCCAAGGGACGCCTGTGGCCTCCCGGAGCTGGGAGAGACCACGGGAAGGGCCTGGAGCCTCCTGAAGGAGACTGGCCGTGCCCACCACCCCTGGATCAGCCATCTGGTCTCCAGAGCGTCAACTCAACCCAAACGCCTTCTCATCGAGTCAGTTCCCGTTCACAGCCAGCTCACAACTCGCCTGCCTTGAAGGCGCTGAGCACAGGCTGGTGGGTTCGAACTGCTGACCTTTCGGTCTGCAGCCCAGCAATTAACCTGCTGCACCACGAGGCCTCCTCCCCTTTGTCATCCAGGTAGCAGAGCTTGGCTGTGGCGGCCCCAGGATCCCCGCAGGACACTGGTCACAGCTCCAGCCTGGTCTGAAAGCCTCTGGGCAGGTGAGTGTGTGTGTGTGTGTGTGTGTGTGTGTGTGTTAAACTTGGGTGCGCCCGCCCTATCGGACTGAGTAGAATCGCCCTGCAGGTTCCAACAGGGTAAACCTTCATGGGAAGAGAAACCCTCCCCCAGAGCGGATGGTGGGTTTGAACGGCTGACCCTGGAGCGAGTTTGCAGCTGAAACATGTCACATGCTGGCACACCAGGGCTGCTTCTGGTGCACTAGGGAAACTCCCCGTGGTGTCTACGGGCAGGTTTCTAAATGCATCACCCAGCGGACACAAGCTCATACATGTGGGCACCACCGCTGCTGCCACCATTCCCCATCATGCCACCACCACCACCATTAACCACACCACCACCATCACCATCACCACTTCCATTACAATCGCAGCCACCACCACCACCACCACCTTCCAGCTTTACCTTAGCGTGTCGTTTCCATAGCAACCGAGGTCCCCGATGCCCAGGTCGTCTGCCATGATCAGGAGGATGTTGGGTCGGACGGCGCTGTCTGTCCGGAGCTCACAGGGCTTCAGAAGCAGGCCGACCGCGAGCAGAACTCGGCAGAGGCCCCTGCAGAGCAAAAGGCCCGAGTGAGTTTCCCGCGTCTGAGCAGGGAAGGCGGACGTTGGTGCTGCGCTCTGCATGGTGTGGAGACCGATCCTGGTACCGGGAGACTGCTGTGGGTGAGGGTCCTCGCTGGATGCACCCCCAGAGACAGATCGGAGCTGCCCACAGCGAGTTCAAGGCTGTCAGCTTTGGGGACAAGGGGCCCCGGTGCCCCAAGGGCTTGGCTATGAGCCCAAAGCTCGAAGGTTACATCCACCAGCCTGCAAGGAGGGAGCTGCATAAGGCGTCTGCTTCCATGAAGTTTGACAGCGGCCCAAACCCTAAAACACACACCCCACTGAAGCAAAC